TCTTTATCAGCAAAATCAACATAAATTTTTGAACCAGCCAAAAATCCTAACCATCCATCAGCCTTATATTGAGGTTCAACAATAAGTGGAATTATTTTACTTTTTCGATTGAATGCATATTCAGCTTCAGCTTTACAATTAGTACTCTTCTTATAGTTACTTGACATACATATAAGTACAAATCGTGATTGTTCAATAGCTTCAGCCATACTTTCGATGATTGATCCACGCATTTCATCTCTATCTAACCAAACTTTATAACCATCTTGTTCTAGACGATCATTTATTTTATGACATAAATCTTTTTGTGCCCAACAATATGAAATCATCATATCATATTGTATTGAATCTGTATCAGATCTTCCTTTTGATGCATCGTCTCCAGATTTATCATTTTGTGGTTTTTCTTTATTTTTTTGTTCTCCTCTTTGTTTAAATTTTTCTTCATCTTCTATTTTCCACATAATTCCATGTGCCATTTTTGAGACATCTTTTTTTTCAGAATCACGTAATTGTTTTACATGATCAACAAATTCTGTGCCTTCACAAATAATTTTTTTTGCATCAGTGTTGAATGTCATTGCGTAGACTATTTCTAATGGTAATGGATCATCATTGGTTTCTTTTGCAAATTTGATTATTGAGGGTAATGCATTTTGTTTTATGACTTCTTCTTTAACATCATCGTTTCCTACCAAATCTAAGAAAAAAATTAAATACATAGAAAAATTTTTAAAGAGACTACTGTGTAATATCTATACCTCTAAATCCTCTTAGAACTGCATTTACTTTGTTAGATTTTCCACTTTGAAGTGCGGCATTGAAATTTTGAAGAAAGAGGCCAGTTACCCGTTCTGCATTGTTTTCTTTGCGAAATTCTTCTTCTGGAACTAATAATGAAGTTAATTCTATTGCTTTTAACTGTATTTGTTCGTTACTTTCATATTTTGATAAATCATTTAATACTTTGATTAAATCAGATTTTGCATCACTTTTATTTTTTAATTCATTTGATAATACTCTATCACATCGAACTATTTCAGTTAATAAACAAAGTGACGTATAAATCAATTTATCATGTACTTCTCCAATATTTGTACTGCTTGTTGATGTATTTAAAAGTATAGCTAGAATAATATCATACATAGGTTTTCTTTGTTCATATGGTAATGATGGAATAGTTGATAAAACGATTTTCATTGGATAAAATAAACATGACATAATCGATGTAGTCCATTGTTTAACATGAGGAAGGAAATGTGCTAGTAGATCATCATAATGATTTAACATTTCATTAGCTATTTTTGAAGAATAACTTTTATCTCTATCGCAAGTTACAATATAATTTGGACAAGTAACAAGAAGAAAATGCTCAGTAATACTTAAAGATGTTGATTTACCTTCACTTAAACCACGCAAAGCATCAACATAAAAACGACTAGTTACACATTTAACAAGAACATCAAGTAATTGTTTACATTGAACATTTCCAAATGCTTGAATAAGCCAATCAAATGATTCTAAATTTGGATCTTCTAAACAACCAATTTCAATATAATAACCATAAGCTCCTATTTCATTTAAACACTTTTCAGTAAAATTAATTAGTTCACTTTGTTGACTAATCCATTGTTTAGCATTGGAATCTGTTTTAGTTGATCGAAGAAGAAATTCTGCACAAGTTCGAAAGATTTGTTTTTGATCTGCATCTAATGTGCCATCTGAAAGCCAATGTTCTAATACTTGAGATAATTGTTTTGGAAGATATTTTTGAAAGATTGG